TGTAGCCGGGGACGATCGTGTCTAGTGGCAAGAGGTGTAAGAGGTCAGAAGCGGAAACTCCGCCGGACGCGTCTACGCGTCCAGGGCGGACTGACTCACAGCCATCGACCAAGCCTCCGGAATTGTTGCCCGAATCGGTCATGCCGAGAGACAATCTCGTGCCCTTTTCAAGAAGCGACCCAGGGTCAGTTATGGGTGACGGGTACGGTGCACACGTACCACCGCGACTCACGACTGGGTACGCCGCCGACCAAGTGAACCACTCTCCGATCCCGACGTCGCCGAGCGGAGTCGTCGCTGGGTGGTAGTCGATCGGGAAGGCAGAGAAGTAAAAAGGAGCAGTCGGCTGCACCGCTGCGCCCGTATTGTTGTAGGTCTGGACCTGGAAACCGGCGCATTGCGGGATCGTCTGGACGTTGTCATTGTAAGTCGACCAGAAGAAGGATATTGACGGGATCGTCGGCGTGATGAGGGTGTCGCCGCTGCTGCCTGTGCTCGTCGTCTGCGCCTGTACAAGGGCGGAGCGAGGTTGAAAGCAGGTCAGAACGGTCGCAACGGTTCCGCGCGTCGTCCGGATCTCGCTGCAGGCGTTGTGAACGCGGGAACGGGGAGTCCGCGCAGGGACAGCGACTCACGTGTGCCAATGGCAGGACTGCTGCAGCGCAGCCAAAGAGCAGAGACGCGGTCCGGCGTCGCATCGACCCCCTTCTCGCGCCGAGAATCGAACCTCGACTCGGGTGACGACCGCACGAATAGCCTTTCTCGAGGCGCGGCGCTGGTCAGACCGGAGCTGTGTCTGTGCTTGTCGGTAGCAGAGCAGATCGCGAGCAGAGAGTCTATAGAGGGTTGCCGACGTCGGCAGGCGCGTCCAATTGCAAGTTAGATTGCTTCCCCCTCTTCTATGACACGCGGTGCTCTTCTCTCGTGCAACGCCAAGCTAATTGCCGATCGCGTGATCGCGTGTGCGGGAGCGCGGGAAATGTGATCGAGGCATGCATGCACTCACCTCGTCCTCATCATCGTTGGCCTTCCCAATCGTGCCTCATCTCCTGGAACACCGCGACAGCGACTACATGGCGCTACAATTCATCGCCAACCAGCGCATAGAGCTATACAAAGATGTGCAGCGACTCCGGCAGGCCTACCTCGAGGCGCTCGTCTTGACAGTCTGCTTCCCATTCCATGTTTACCGCCTCCTCGTTATCTTCAGCTGCGAAGCCTACGAGCAGCTCTCTCGCGTTTGCCCGAACCCATTCCGCCGGTACGTTGTGCCGTTTGGGCACCCGCCTGTGCAGCTTGGAATGGCGCTGACGCTGCAGCGTTTGACGACGTCTCCCACGGGACCGGCGTGCAGATCGCGTCCCGCGCCACCGCTGCCGCTCGAGATCATCTTCCATATCCTCGAGTCCTGGGACTCGAACGCCCTCGATGCTCGCGAAGCGCACGTTGCCCGCATCGAGTTCTACTCGAGCTGCATGCGCGTGCACTCGACCTGGACGGCGACGGCCCGGCGACTCTTGCACGAGGAACTCTGGGTCAGCCACCGAAACGACCCTCGATTGTGCGAAAGCATCGCCCCGGAGAACCGCGAACCGGCTCGCAGAAGTGCGCGAACGCTCATCATCGACACGTGCTATGAACCCATGGCCTGGCAGTCGGAAGAGATCTGCGGACGCCTCGGCGCGTGCGAGTGGCTCGACTCGCTCTCCCTCGTGCACATGAACCTGCGCCTGTCCGACTTCAAATCTTTCCCGAGTGAGTGAACACTGAAATAGATTCGAGCTCGCGTGGTCGGTGAATTGACGAGTTGGTGCTTCAACCAGACCTCCGACGCCTCCACATCCGCCGCGCGTCTTTCCCCGCCCCGTGGCCCTCGACCGACGAGCCGACGTTCAGCATGCAGCGCCTCGAGCATCTCAGCATCACCAACGTGTCGTTCTCGAACGCCATCCCGATCTACCGCGGCCTGCTCGATCCCGTCGCCTTGCCGAACCTGCGCACTCTCGAAATCTGGAACTGCTCGTTGCTGTGGACCTCGTTCTACGGACTCCGGACTTTCCCGCACCTTCGAAGCCTGAGCTTCTCGTCCGACTATCTTCCGATCTCGCACCTGCTCGAGTACGAACTGCCCGAACTGCGTTTCCTCAACCTGTCGAGCACGGCGATCGAAGACCTCGCGCGCGGACACGCCGACCATCGCCAGTTCCGCTTTGCACCGACCGTACTCCGCATCGAGATCGCCAAGTCGCTCGTCATCTACGGTCAAGCGTTGTCGGTCGAGGAACGCCTGAACCAGCTCTCCATCGCGCTCATCGCCCTCCTCTCTCGCGACGCACCTCTCTTGCGATCCGTCCGCGAGTTGCAGGTCCCCTTCGAGAAGACGGCGCTGGAAGCGAACAAACTCAAGCCGCAGGTCGCGCGCTGGGGTGTCGCCAGGGGGGTGCGAGTCCACTTTTACGATGGCGTCGATCCCGTCGGGCGCCGGGACGCAAACTCATCCTTCTTCGCGGGGGTGTTTGCTCGCGAGTCGGAATGGTTCGCCAAGCCGGTACCGCCCCGGGGGCTGCAGATCGGCGGCCGTTGAACACCTTGGTTCCTCCCGCCGACTGACTCAGCACCCGAGGAACCTCTCGTGATTTATCCCCTCCATCTTCTGATCCACCCAGCGCTATATATTGCTCTTCATCCTGTGTCCCCTATCCCCAGAGATCGTCGTCTGTGTCGTTGTGCCATTCATTGCAATATGCCCGAGCTCTTCTTATCTTATCGAACTCCGACTTCGCAGACGGGCGTGCTCTAATCTTAGATCCAATTCAGACTCTCTTAGTCTTCTTCAGACTCCGTGTCAGACGGTTCCTCTCTACTCGACGCGCTCGAAGCTTCCTCGATCTCGGTTTCGATATCGCTCTCGGCGCCATACTTGTTGCGTCGAAATGCGCCGAAAGCCGCGGCCGTTTCGACGAAACGGACCTGCAACGGGAGAAAACGGGTCAGTCGAGTGCTCGAAACCGAAAGCGGATCACGGTCGATGCACCTGCCAGTTCCGCTGGCGAGGTTCTTTCAAGTGCGCACGACGAGAAGCGCCTCGGGCCACCAAGGCAAGTCGTATGGTCCAAGACTGACCTTGGGTCGCTCGTCTGCCGCTCCGGACGCGTAGGTCCGCTTGACGATCCACACTCGGTTGCGGAACCCGATCTGGCGAAGAGTCGGCGCGCATCTGCAGAGATTGATGGCGTGAACAAAGGTTCTGAGACGGTTTTAGTGTGCGCACTTACTGCTCGGCCAAGGTGAGGATAGCATCTGGCGTGACGCTGGCTCTTTGAGAGAGCAGGTGTATGGTCCGCAACTCGTTCAGCGGCGCGAACGCCCGCGTGAGGCGGTCCTGGTCACGGTCCGACGGTGAGCACGATCATGAAGAACAGCGACGGTACGGCGCAGTCACATAGCCAGCACATACCAGATCAAAGTCTGCGCTAAGGTGAAGGACGAGATTGCGCAGCCTCGGACTTCCATTCGAAAGGATTTCGACACCTTCGACGCTGGTGAGGATGCCCGACACCTCGAATTTGCGGATGCGCGGACCGCTTGTAGCGGCGAAATGGTGAAGGAACTCGACCGGGAGAACTGGCCACTCGCGTCGACCGTCCGACGCTGCGCCAGAGTGGTACAAGGTAAATGCGGTCAAGTTCGGGAGGCCGTCGAGCAGCTTCTCGAGCGCGGGGAAGAAGGCGGGAAGGGCAGGGTGCCGAGGTCCGGGATGCGTGAGCTTGAGGGATTGCAGATGGGATAGAGAGTCGGCTATTTGGTCATAGAACGAGGGATCGAGGTTGCACGCCTCCAAAGCGAGATGGCGGAGATGAGGCAACTTGGGTAGCAGCTCGAGCAGCGGTTCGCCGGTCAATTTGGCGCAACCGGCGAAGGCGAGAGAGGTGAGCCGGCTCTCGGCGAGATACGGCGAGATCGAACGGATGACGCTGTCGTTGATGACGGGACTCTCTCGACAAAGGACCGAGAATTCCTCGAGCTCGAGCGAACCCGGCGGGGGCGTCTCTGTCCCACCCGCGGTATCGCCGGTTCGGCTCTGGTGCTTGAAGAAGGCGCCGAGCACTTGGGCGACGTTCCGGTCGGGCAAGATGAGCGAAAGGGCCCGCAGAGGGCGCAGCCGGCGGAGATTGTCGGCGGACCACGAGCCGGGCGAGAGGTTGGTGTGCGCGTTGAGCTCGAGCGTATGTAGCTTCTGCATGCGGTGTATGGCGACCCAGACTCTGCGATATTACGGCAAGAGTCCGGAATGAGCGAAACGCGGGCAGGGTAGAGGGTCCGAGGAAGAGCGTACTGGTCCGTCAAAGCGCCTTTGCGAGTCCAAACGAGCTCTTCGCAGTTGACGCAGTTCTCCAGCATCGCGATCGCGACCCGCTCCGTCGCTGCCTGCTCTTGGATCTTGAGCGAGATCGGGAAGACGCGGATTTCCAGTTTGCGGACGAGAGCAGCGAGGCGAGGTGAAGACGCCAAAGTCTCGAAAAGATTGCGGGCGATAGCCTGGACACTGGAGCAAGTCAGCGTTCGTCTGCGGCAGGATTTATGAGTCGATTTGCGCACCAGGTCCCGTCCAAAGAGCCGTACATGACGCAAGAGTCGCGCCTGACCGACATCGCGCCAATCCCGCGATACCAGGCAAACATTGTAGAGGTCGCGGCGGGAGACGAGAGGCGCCAAGATCTCTGGCAGTAGCTCTGGCGGCAGGTCTGCCAGTGAAGTCGGCATCGTTCGGCGAGGCTATGCTGCCGCAGGATCGGAAGAGAGCGTCGACGCCAACCCGGCCGAGAAGTGGAGCAGCGCGGCGAGAAAAAGCCCTCGGATACTATATGCTTCGGACAATGACTGACGACTCGTTCCACAAGAGCAGGGATGAATAAAAGGGACTATGGCCCCTGCTGCTCGAGGTCACAGAGCAGCCTGCTAGAAAAGAAGCGCGAGGTGGAAAAAAGGAAAGGTTGTGGCGACCAGAGCAGGATTTGAACCTGCGCAGGCAAAGCCTAATAGATAACGAGTAGTTGATTCGAGTCTATCCCCTTAGACCGCTCGGGCATCTGGCCATTTCATGTGGAGTGGGTGCCAAAATTTCACACACATCAAGATTGCACACTTTCTGCCTCTGACTTTACAGAACAAACTTCTGTCGGCGGATATGCATTGGTCGGAAGAGTCCCTTAGCTTGCTAGGGCCTTTCCTCCCATCCTCGTGATCGTCTAGGGACTTGTTGGCTGCGCTCGTAGACTTAGAGCTCGAGCCCCGGCACTAGTGGTGCGAGATTAAGCGGGGCAGATCCTACGTCATCGTTTTCGCCTGGAACGGGGATTTCAGGCTGACAAGCTGCCGGGCTTGTTGTCCTCCGCCACATTACACTCATCAAAGCGCATCTCCACGAGCCTCTACACTCTCGCTTCCTCCGCAAAGCAGCACAGCTCCTTCCTAGCCAGCTCTCCCCTCAGCCGCCGCATCCCCAGCCTCACCTTTCATCATCATGGTTTCTGGTGCGTCGTCGTCGATCGCCACCAACGTCTCGCCGAAGACCCTTCGAAGCTGATACGTGTTCATTGTCACTGTCGCAGACCGCCTCATCCGTATGACCATTGCGCCGGTCGCCCTCATGACCCTCCTGACGTCCGTTGTCGTCATGGCGATCGCGGCGTCGCTCGAGTCGCACTGGAGCAGCGTCGGGTTCCCGAGCAACTCGTACCGCGACCGCGAACGGCTCTTGCTCGTAGCAGGAATCTGGGGCATCATCGTCTCCGGTGAGTCGGGTTCGGTCTTTGGAGCTGCCAACGGTTGACGGTTGACGAGAGCGAGCAGTGGACTAATCTCCCACCGCCACAGCGTATTCCTTGGTCGGCGCACTCCTCAAGCCGGGCCACAAGGCCTTCGGAATCTTTTACCACCTGATCGCCTACTCGATCGCCTTTGTCAGTTGCGCATCCCGTCCGAACCTCCAACCTCGCGGCATGCTCACTCCGTTCCTCCGCACAGATCCTTTACCTTTGCGGTGTGGCCTCGCTCACTGCCCTCACCAACTCGATCGACTGTGGTGACGTGACCTGGTCGCGTTGCAACGTCGTCAAGGGCGGTCTCGTCTCGACCGGGTTCGTCCTGCTCCCGTCCTGCTCCCTTTCTCCGCGCTTCCGAATCCATTCCCAGGGTTCGTCAAGGACTCCTTTACTGACCAAAAGACACCCTGCAGCTGGATCGGTACCATCTTCACCTTCATCATGCTCGTCATCGCCACCTTCTACGGCATCAAGGCTCGTTCGGGCGTCGGAGCCCGCAACGCCGCCCTCAACGAGGCCTAAGCGATGATCTGCACCGCTCTTTCGAGTCCGCACACTTTGCACGGTTTTCGGCGGCAGCAGATGATCTAGAACATCATTCTCGCGCTCCAAAGCTCCTCCTCGGCGATTTCGTTTGTACGAGAAGAGCTCAAGAAATACCCTTCATACATAGCATTTCTCTCAGAATATACATAGTAGCGTCAGCCTAATCCTAATAAATAACCGTACACGTATCATACAAGTTGTTTCGTCTCTCCTGTGATGGACGTGAAGGGAAAGCCTCGCCGCGCAACGCTACTTCAAGCCTGCTTGCGCTTGCCAACCTGGTTCGCTCCGAGCTGCCTTGCCAGCAAGAACCAGACGATGGGCCGAGGAATGCGTTCGAGGAGCCAGAACAGGAAAGCCTTGCCGCCGGCGGTGTAGTACGCGGCGGGCTTTGAGCGCAGCGCCCGCGCCACGATACCCTCGGCGAGTTTGGAGGCCGGCATCGTGTGATCTGCGAGTACACAACGGTGTCGTCAGTCCTTTCATAGTTGCGTTCAGGTGTTATCAGCGCGACCGTGATCCAAAGTCGTGCGTACCTGCTCGTTGCGACATGTTGGATCGCTCGGCAATCCGGTCCGCCACATCCTTGTACAGAGAATCTGTTGTACGCGAGCTTGGTGTCAGAACACAACTCGCGAAACGTAGACCGAGAGAGAGAGCATGCCATGTCATGCGCACCTTCGGGCAACTTGATGCTGAGCGTCTGCTTCTTGCCAAACTGACTCGTGATCGCTCCCGGAGCCACGAGCATAACATCGATGCCGAATCCAGCGACTTCCATGCGCAAGGCCTCCGAGGCCGAATGCAAGGCGGCCTTGCTGGCCGAGTCTAGGTAACACTGGGATTTAGCGCGCGGTTCAGCACGGCGCAGCGGGCTCGGAGGGCTCACAGATTCCGGTCCAGGGCGTCGGGATATTGCCTGTACAGTTTCAAGGGATTAGCGCTCGAGTCCGCGCGGAAGTGCCGCTAGGTGAATCCTCGCCCGACGCACCGACGATGGATCCAATGTTGACGATCAGGCCGGACCTCTGCTGAGCCATGTGCGGCACGACCAGCTTGCTCATTCGGAGCGGTGCCCAAAAGTTGATCTCGAACTGTATGCGAGCAGATTTGAACCACGTCAGCCTGGACTGTTGAAGACAAGCCTGAAAAGACGAACTCAGATAACTCACGGTCGCTTTGCCACCCTCTTCGCTCTCCACGTCCGCGTCGAGCAGAGCGCCAGCACCTCCGGCGCCAGCGTTGTTGACGAGGACATCGATACGTCCTTGTTCGTGCAAGACTTGATTGACCGCTTTCTGGCAGGATTCGAGGGAAGCAACGTCGAGTTCGATGCGGTGAACGTTCGCCGGAAGGGTCTCCAAGGCGGCTAGACGACGAGCAGAAGCGTACACGATGCAGTTGCGAGCTGCAAACTCTTCGCACAGCGCATAGCTGCGGACGAACGGGCCTTGATCAGTTGTCGGGTGTGGGGCTTGAAGCTTGAAGTACGAAGACACTGACCCTATGCCGCCGGCACTGGAGCCAGTCACGAGCACGACTTTGCGACCAGACGAAGACGGCATTGCGCTCGGTGTAGCGTTCGCTGTTGCCTATGCCGCCGGAGCCGCGACTGTAGAACGATGAAGACCGGCTCTCGCTTGCTCGAAAAGCCCGGAGACATTCAAATTGTCGTCAAAGTTTCGCGGGCGACAAAGCTCTTGATTGCAATGCGAACTGTAAGCAAAAGGGTCTATGCAAGCGAGCGAACCAGGGAAGGGAAAATAACGCGAGAGAAGACCATATTCATATGCCATGCGGGAGAAACCTCCGCCCTTATGCCTCGGGATCTTCTTCCTCCTTGACCGAGACCGAATCGTCCATAGCCTCGTCGACGGCTTCTCCGCCTGCTTGCTGAGCCGCGTCGCCAGAGTCCACGTCCATCGAGGCTGCCGACGTTGAGGCTTGACCGTGCAGGTCGCGAGAGTTGCTCATGCGGCGAACTGCGCGGTGCGCCGACGTCGACCGGGACGGAGTCCCAGCGCTGGAGAGGTTCGGAGTGTGGGACGAGAGAGTCGCTGTCGAGGCCTGGAACGCGAGCGCCGGCAAGCGGGGCGCCGAAGGCGCGACCGCAGAACGACCCGCGTCGGGCGTTTCCTGCGCTGTCGAACCGCTCGCGACGGCGGGCACGTTGTCCTCGACGTCTTCCGTTTTGACCAGCGGCGAAGCAGGGGTCACGATCGGCGAAGGCGGATCGACTGCCCCGAAATCGAGGATCTCGTACTCGCTGCGACCGCCGCGCGAGACTGCCGCGACGCAGTACCGCCGATCCGCCGCGACTTGCCAGACGCCGGTCAAGCCGCTGATCAAGTCGCGGACAAAAGCACCGGTCCGGACATCCCACATCTTGAGCGTGCCGTCCGAACCGCTGATCACCTTGTGCTCGTCTTGCTGGAAGCAGGTGATCGCGCCCTGGTGCGCCGCGAGCGCGTGGCGGCACGCGCCCGTCTCCGGGTCCCAGATCCGCAATGTCCAGTCTGCAGCGGCAGAGACGAGGTTGCGGTGCGTCAGGCCGAGGAGGCCGACGAGCGAAGTGTGACCCTCGAGGACGGCGCGGCACTCGCCCGTTTCGGTCGACCAGAGGCGGACCGTGCCGTCCATCGAGCCGGACGCGCACTGCTTGCGGATCGAGTCGTACACCACCGAATAGACCTTTTGCGTGTGACCGCGGAGGACGTGCCGGCACTTGCCCGTCAGGATGTCCCAGACGCGGACCTCCATGTCGTACGAGCCCGAGACGAGCGTACGGCCGTGCGCAGACAGGGCTCGCACGGCGTGCTCGTGCCCAGTCAGGTGACGGAGGTGGTACGGGTTGTCGCTGACATCGATCTCGGTCGCGTCGTGGTCGTACGGCGGCGGGGTGTAATCCGGATCGCGGTTCGGCATCGGGAGCTTCCAGACGCGCAGCGACCAGTCACGCGAACCGGTCACGATCAATGGGTACGCTGGCTCCCAGATCGGATCTCCTGACGGATCGGGGTTGATGTTCTCCGGTTCGACGATCTGAAGGCACCGCACTGTCGACTTGTGGCCGACAAAGACGTGACTGCACCGGCCCGACTTCAAGTCCCAGACGCGAACGCTCTTGTCCGTCGAACCCGAGACGAGCACGTTGCCGACGTACTGCATCGCCCAAACGCCACCGTCGTGCCCGACGAGATCAGCGCGACGGCGACCCGTCTGCGTGTCGAAGACGCTGATCGAATGGTCGTCGGAGGCGGACACGATCTTCTGGCTGTCGAACTGGAGACAAGTGACGACGTGGTTGTTGGCCGGCGCCGGTTGATTCCCACCTGCCGGCGCTTGCTGCTGTTGCTGCGAGGCGGACAACGGATTGGACTGGAAGACGAGGCGAGTCGGCGTGCCTTGTGCCCAGTTCCGACGGGTGATGACGCGAGAGCGATACAGGAGCTTGAACGGGTGCACAAAATGGGTCGAGGGGGCAGGAGAGGCGCTACGAGACGAGGACGGCGAAGCGAGACGGTGGGAGACAGATTCCTCTCGCGGCTCGATCGGACCGGAGCGGTACAGGCTGACCGGTTCGACCTTGCCCGTCCAGGATGTGCGGCGCTGTCAGAGGTGACGCAGGTGGAGGGGTCAGTATCACCTCGGCTTTCTTTCGGACGAAGTTCTTGAACCATGGACCGACCTGTTCATCCCACACGCCAGCTTCCCACCTCTTGAGG